TTAAAAAACTAAAAACTCGTGATAACTCTTTCATGGGCATACTTTTTTATTAAGAGTCATTAGATTATGATATGGATTAATCAAGTTTTTGTACACTTAAATTAATATAAGATTTGAATTGTAATATTGTTTTAGTAAGAGTTAAAGTCCCATGTATTGTATTAAAAGAGAATTTAGTTTAAAAGAAAAAAAATTGTTATTATTTATACACTAAATATTTACACATAATATAATGTTCACTATATTTATACGATGATGAACGGTGATTTTTTCAATTAAAAAATATATTTATAAATAGTCGCATGAACAATATGTAAATAGTGTCATAAACAATATGTAAATAGTGTTCATGAACAATGTCGTAAACAATATATAAACGATGACCGTGAACACTACTCGTGAACAATGACTTTAAGTAGTAAAACAAGTTGGTTAATAAAATGAAAAAAAAGTTAATTAATGAAGTAATAAAGTTGGTTAATGAGATATTAAAAATAATTTTTAATAATAAAATAAAGTTGGTTAATAAAAAATAAAAAAGTTAGTTAATAAATATTTAAATATTAAAAAATAATTTAACAATAAATAAAGTTAGTTTTTTTTTATAAGCAAAGATATTGACTAAATGAATAAGGGTACTAGGGGTATCCCAACCCAAATACAACGATCATACCGAATATATAAATTACTAAGAGTCCTAAATTAAAAGAACTCCCACGGAAAATTACACCAATTGTAATAACTACACGAAGTCTTCTTGGAGAGCCATCACCAGAATATAAGAATAACTTTTTGTATCACAAACGTCGAATCCCCTATCTCATCGTTGAAAAGGATTTGGTTTCTAGAAAACCACATACACCACAAAATAATACATTATAATCCAATTGCATTATATAGTGAAATCTTCCCCCCTAAATTTTTCAATCCATAATCTCAAATGGTTGTTACTATCGAAAACACAAAAATTATCGACATTCAACCAGCCACAAACCAAACACCAAACAGAATATGTTTTGACACAACAAAGAAAAGATGATTGATAAAGTAAAAAAGTTATGTTGGTTAATAAAATATATAAGTTAATTAATAAAATATAAAATGTTGGTTAATGAAATTATGAAGTTGATTAATCACACAGTTTTATATCAACATATTTTCATTTAAAAATATAAAATAATAATAATAATAATAATAATAATAATAATAATAATAATAATAATAATAATAATAATAATAATAATAATAATAATAAATTGTCCCATGAACCATCGCAAGTGATAACCGTGTCATCTATATATAAGTTAATTAATAAAATATAAAATGTTAGTTAATGAAATTATGAAATTGATTAATCACACAATTTTATATGAACATATTTTAATCTAAAAATATAAAATAATAATAACAATAATAATAAAAATAATTTTTTTTATAATTTTAAAAATATTATTATTATAATATCTCTCTGTTTGTCGTATTGATGAAAATATAATATTATGGACATATAACCATTTTTGTTAAGAAAAACTCACTCTATGTACCCATACAAAGTAGTATCAACCGAAATTTACATCGAAGTAAAAGTTTGGATTGATGGATACGTTGACCAACTCACTTTAAATAAGAGAAAGTGATGAACCATAATTAAAAACACTTTTACAATGTATATCCAGTCAATACAATTGAGATTTATTTTTACCATTATGCAAACTTTCTACAACAATATATCGAAAGTGTGTTTAATTGGTTAAAAAGCAATAGACTAAACATGACATTTTTTTACACCTTGTTTGATTGTGAAACTTATTAAAGAATTGAATAAAACATATCATAAAGGATGACAAAAACATAAATTATTATCTTTCATTATATGTTTTGTCGAATTTCACATGACTAGTTTCAAAATCAGACAAACAATAAAAAATAATATCCCGCCCAATCCCATGCTTAATACCTCTTTTAGTCCTTTAACTTTAGTCATTGTTTCGCTTTGATCCCTTAAAAAAATATTACATTATGATCCACTAACTTATACTCCGTTACGTATATTAGTTCTTTCTGTTAGTTTTGGTTGAGAAAACGTTAGAAATTGCACTGCTGGAGTTTAAATGGCTTAGGTGGATATTCTGCAATTATTTTAATGGATGAGGTGGATTTTGTATTATACTTAACATTCATTTTAAGGAGATGAAACGTATTAGTGCATGCTTACATTGTTGGATGAAAGCTCAGGTTCAGAGAGCAGCTACATTGTGAACAACAACACTTGTTTGAAGATGAAGTTCATTGAAGACGACGATAACGACGTTTACGACAACAACCCTCTATTGAAGAAGAACGAAAAAAGAACTTCATTATTTCATTCGTCTGTAGAAAAAACCCTAAGGTACGAACTTGCACAAATACGATACAAAGAATGTTAACTTTCTTTTATACCTAACTTACTTAGTACTTTTGATACTGTATGTAGGTTAATTAGGTCATGGAGAGTAGGTTTAAGTGTGTTGTTCATCATTCTGGTGAATTTTCTAAGGAGTTTGTAAATTTTACCAAGTCAGGTTATGTAGGGTTAGAGGAGATATATGATGTTGATCCTAATTGTTGGAGTTACTTTGAAATATTGGACAAGTTAAGAGAGTTAGGTTACCCTACTATAGATAGACTTTGGTATCATGATGACATGATTGCTAATGATATAGTTCAATTAGAAAATGATAAGGGGATTGATAGGATGAGAACAATTACAGTGTTAATTGGGGAATGCCACTTGTATGTTACACGTCCTGTATATGAACCTAATGTTATTAAGGAGCCTATACTATCACTACCAGATGTGAGCATATTGGATGAAGATATGTGTGATTAAGGGTCTAATATGATTAATAATCAGGATGAGACCACAATGGCTGAAGATGTGGTTGGTGAAGTATATGAAGGGGGGAGTAATGAAGGTGGGACCACACTGGGTGAAGATGTGGTGGAAGAGGGGACAATAGTTGATGAAGTTGATGAGAATGTTAGGATTGAAGAGAATGTTGAAATTGAGAAAAATATGGGTCATGTGGGGACCAATTGTGAAACTGAGGATAATGTGGGTCAAGAGGAGACAAATTGTAACAATATGGATGATGTGGGGACCACCTATGAAATAGAGGAGAATGTGGATGCATGGATGAATGTTGGAGCAGATGAAATCAATGAAGGACTGAACTGTAACCAAGAACAATATGAGGTAATTAATTGTAACCAAGAAGATGAAAGTGATGGCAGTGCTTTGAATGTTAATTTTAAAGACTCAGAGAATGATATATATATATATAGGTATTGATGGAGAGATAGCAATTGATGAGGATGAAATGAATGCAACAAGTAAGGAGAAAGGAAAAGGCAATGGAAAAGGTAAGGGGAAATGGGAGGGGAAAGGAAACAATCATTGTTAGGGATGTAGGTGTTGATAATGATGGTAAGGTAAATTTGGACAATTTGAGAGGTTTAAGTGACATTGAGGAGTATGACAATGATAAAATGAATACTAAGTATGACAGTGAGAATGATGAGGTTGTAAAGGATGATTTTGTAACCTTTAAGCTTCCAAAAAGAATGAAAGACTACAAATGGGAATATGGTACATATTTTTCTACAAATGAAGTGTTTCAAGAGGGAATAAGAACATATACCATTCATTCTGGAAGGAAATTGAAATTTATAAAAAATGATAAGGCAAGAATGAGAGTTAAATGTAAGACAGGTTGCCCATGGGTGTTACAAGTCAACCATCACCACCTGTTGTTACAAGTCAGTCACCACCCAAAACTAAGAAAAAACTTCATAAGAGTGACAAGCCTGTTTCAAGTCAACCATGATCATTATTATTATGTCTACTTAGATTTTGTAATGTCATTTAATGACCGGACTCTTTTGTTTTTGTTAATGCACATTTTGAAATTGAATATGTTATGTAATGTCTTATAATGATCTTTTGATTTTGAACCTGTTATGTAACGTTTTTTTTTGTCACTTTTTCTTCTATTTATACCTTATTATTTTAAATAAAATATATTCTTAATATATATATATATATAATATTTTGCATGTTTTCATTAATACATTTATTTTATCAAATAAAAACTAATTTTATAATATAATATAATAAATTAATGAAACCACTAATTTTTTAATTTAAAATATCCTTTTATCTCATTTTGTATTTATCAGATGATATAATATCTAATTTATCAAATATTCAAATTAATTTATTAATTATCAATCATAAATTATCAAATATCAACTATCGGCTAGTTTTACCAAAAAAAACTTTAAAGCAATATTATCATCTGTTTTTCATACGTTGCTACACATATATCATAGCCATTATGTTATCAGAATAAATGGATAATTGAATAAAGAAAGTGTTTCTACGTTTGCAAATATTCACGAATTCAAGAATATTGTTTAAGTGTCACATGTGTATGCGTAGCTGCAAGTGAGCAAAACTTTGCAATGAGAATAACTATTTGATGAGACTCATTTTAAAATTTTAATGGATTGTATGAATATTTAAAAAATATAATCAAATTATTTAAAAATTTTAAATATATAATATAATATAAGAAATTGAATAAAACCCATTTATTTGTATGATGGATGTGGATGGTGTTATATTATAATGGAACAATTTTTTAGGTCACACTTTAAGGAAAAAAAAAGTAATGTTTAAAATGTCTCCTAGATCTCATTATTATTTGAAGGAGGTCTAAAATTTAAGCAAAAATAAAATTTGTCAGCTACATTTCCCTCCAGCAGTCCACTCGAGTTCTCTGTCTGTCTGAGACCAAAACCCCCCAAAACCCTTCCCTGCTTTGCTTTGATTATTTCTTCCATGCTTGTGTCTTTTTTTCCTTCTCCAGCTTTGAACCCTCTCAGAAAAATGAGTACGAAGCCAAATCGATGAGTGAGTCACAGTAGAGCGCAACGGTATCTCTTTCTCTTTACTCAATATGCCAATTTCGACTCGCCTCCATCTCTTTGCAAGGCCTTTACTCTCTTCCTCTCTCCTTTACCCTTTGCGCCAGGTCCCTCTCTCTTCCTTGCTCATACACTTTGATTATGTAACTAGAACAATAAATTCACTCTGATTATGCTTCTAATTGAACTAATTTCTCGATTTGATTGTTGAATAGAATGGAATCAGAACAATATTGACCAGGATTGGCACAAGGAACTTCTCGCTTTCTTCTACAGGTATTACTTCCCCTTAAGTGCTTATGCTGTATTTAACGATATGCTAATAATGTTGCAAACATTTTTCTAGTTTCAGCTGAAGCTTCCGGTTTAGAATGTGATGAGATCTTCGATGACGTGAAAGCGGCAGAGAAAAATAATGCACTTTGCTTGGCTGTCTCGCAGCTCGCTAGCGAGTTTAGCAAGGAGTCAATGTTATCTTTGCGGAAGTTTTTCGGTGTACGCTATGCCAATGTGGTATCTACTGGCTCTTTGAAGCTTGACTTAGCTCTTGGAGTTGGAGGATTACCAAAGGTGATAACTAGATTAGTATTGTTATCCTTTAGTATTTACTACACTGACGCAAATAATAGAACAATTATACATATCTATGAGTTTCCTTATTATGCATCATGTTTGAATGTTTTAGGGTAGGATTGTTGAAATTTATGGACGAGAAGCAGCTGGTAAGACGACTCTTGCCCTTCAGATTATTAAAGAAGCTCAAAAGCTTGGAGGTACTTATCAGACTTTTATTTTAGTATTTAAAACTCACTGCATATAAAAGAATTTCTCGATTTGTACTTCAATAATATGATCTCCAAGAAATACTTGGTACGTATGGAAAATGGAACAGAGACCGTTGTTAGCATATCCATCATTTAGAAGTAGATTAGTTCTTGAAATTGATCTCAAGTTGTATTATTTATTAAAACAATACTAACGATTTCTATAGGCCCAGAAAATGTCACACACATGATACTCGGTACTCTTAACCTTTGTCCCATTCCTGTTGGAGAATGCACTGTTCTGTGCTTTGTCTCTTGTCAATCTAATAAATTCCGTTCATTTTGTTGGCAGGATATTGTGCATATCTTGATGTAGAAAGTGCATTAGACCTTTCACTTGTGGAGTCAATGGGTGTAAATACCAAAAACCTTCTCATCTCAAATCCAGACTGTGCGGAAAATTTGTTGAGCATGGTTGATACATTAACAAAAAGTGGAGCTGTAGACGTGATTGTGGTTGATAGTGTAAGTTATCGTGCCTAGTCGTTTACATTCTCACTAGTTAGCAAAACCAACATTTTTGTCAAATTTCTCTACATTTTCATAAGATCCAACAGTAGTGTCCGACTGACTTTCAAGATGAGAATCTATAATGGTTGTGTGCCCAACCCAACTTTAGCAGTAACAAACTTTCATCCCATTATTTTGATTATCTTTCTTTATCCTCCCTTACTATTTTTTAAATTGATTTTCATATATTTTAAGATACAATGATGATATATGGCATATTTCCACGGTATTTTAACTGTTACTACATTTCATCTTTAGTTTGGCTCTCACATGAATATAAGATGATTTTGTCATTTCAGGTTGCTGCTCTTGTCCCAAAATGTGAACTTGATCAATTGGGAGTTGCTACGAGTCATGATTTACATTCACGAATGATGACTCAAGCACTACGGAAAATTAATTATTCATTATCCCGCTCCCAAACTCTCTTAGTTTTTGTTAATCAGGTCAAAGCCACATTACTTGAAATTGTGCATGTTATCATTTGAATGTCAATTTGTACAATATACAAATAATCCATTAGATTTATCATTCAATACTGCTCTCATATACAGGTTAGATTTAGTCCAAAATTATTCGGGGGACGTGGACCTATGGAAGAGGTCACTTGTGGTGGAAACGCTTTGAGATTCTATGCAGCTGTTCGTTTGCGACTTTCAAGAACGGGATTGATCAAAACCGAAGATAAGGTTAGTTCTTTGCATGTTATAGCTTCTTAGCAACATGCAGAAAGTTACCAAATTTCTCTCTTTCTTTCCCAAACACCTATCTTGTTTTAATTCTTTTCTTCTCTCTTGACATCTGGCACTTCAGGTTGAGGGTATTACGGTATGTTGCCAAGTAGTAAAAAATAAACTAGCACCCGCAGCAATGAAAAAAGCTGAACTAGGTATCAAGTTTGGAAGAGGCTTTTGCCAAGAATCAGAGGTCTTTGATTTGGCTTGTGAACACGGACTCATTATGAAAGACAAAGGGAACTATTTTATTGAAGGGGAGGCTCTTAGTAGTAGAGAAGCTGCTGAAGTATTTTTGGTTAAAAATAAGAAGATTTGTGACAAGTTAGTTATGGACATGAAACGACTTTATCTTTAAAAACCGGTTAAACCTCCAAATCTTCCATGGATGTTCTAAGCCAAACTGCAGACATGATATTCTCAAGGCATCAATCAATATTATCTTCAATAGGCATCGATTACACCGTAGACGAGTAAACTGCTTTTAAGTTACAGGAATCGTCAACTGCTATAATGTGACTATATGAGCCCTATGGATCTAGGTGTGAAGTACTGCACAGTCACAGTTCCAGAAGTTAAGTTTGATTGCCCTTTATAAACTATTTGAAATATTTTTATTTATTAGGAAATATTTATTGTATTCATTTGTCAGAGAAAGGTTGCAATTACAGGACTGCAATGTAAATGATGAACTGCCTTAAATTTTCCTTTTCTGAACCCATTGGATGAATCTGTGTATCCTTTTTTCTGGTTCCTTTGCTTGTGAACTCTTTTCAGGCGACAAAGTATATATTTATAAGTAAAAATCAAGTATTAATGCAAAATAGATCATACTTGTTGAATTTCTCATGTGTTGCATAGATTAAATGTTTTTGTTTATTGTGATTAATTTGTAATGAATGGGAATTTTCTGTCTAAGATATATTTATATGAAGATTTTACCGATTTAAATAAAAATCTTTGTATGATTCTCATTTCCTACTGTGTTGGTGATTGATGTCTCACTTTGTTATAATAACCTTTATCTTATTGTGGATTCTTTCAGCATTGGAAAGGGTGGAGGGTCTTTAAGTGGTTGGGAAATTTATTCTGCCACCCCCCACCCAAATTATACCCACACTATTTTATCCTCCCTGTCATATAGGCGACTTTCGATTTATTTTCTATAATTTTTTCGTTTGCAAATGCGTCCTTGCTATTTTAAGATTTCATCAATATACATCTTTGAGAAATCTGACACATCAAGTGCATATGTGTCAAATTGAATGACATTTTTTTTTTCATTTTTTTTAAAATGACACTTAAGCTTATTTTTGCCACATATGTTTTATTGAAGTATCTAATATTATTACATTGTCTTCGTCTTCTCCAAATCGTGTTTGCACTCTTGTATTCTTAAAGCTTCAAATTAGGGCATGAAAATGGGTGGTTATAGAAGTTCCTTCATTGCCAATTCAACCGGTAGGTGTTGCACCCTAAAATTTGCTCAACCCAATTCATTTGGGTTATGTTTCAATTACATTAGCATTTGCATATAGAGTCATGTACATAGTCTAATCATCTGCATAGCATAGCATATCAAATCATCCAACAGGGATCAAGCACTATTCTCATCTCTATGAGCCTATCAAGAGGTTATTATTCAAATTCAAGCATATCCAAGTCATCAGAAAAGAAATTGAAAGCTAAAGAAGTCTGTGGATCAAGCAGTGCATCTATCTCCTATCTGAGGGTATCTGAAGATCATCAAAGAAGTTGTGAGCTGTGGATTGAGCATGGAGAGTATGTAGACATCATGGAAGACTTAGAAATTCATTTGGAGAAAGAGGCAAGTCATTGATATGATTACAAGAGTTGTAGTTGAAGACAGTCAACTAGGGTTTCATCTGGGTCAACCCTGGGTCAACCCTAGGTCAATTGATTGATTGAAAGGCATTAAGGTCTATTGGAGAGATGTGGGGTTCATCATTTGACATATAGATAAGGATATGGTGATGTGCCAAGAAGAAATCAAGAAAAATCAAGGAGAAGAGGAGTTTCTAAATTAGGGTTTCTGTGTAAAATCCCCTGATTTAGGTCAAACTTCCAAGCAAGATAAGTCAACATGCAAGCTTAAAATGGATCCTTGGCTAACATGAAACTTGTAGAGGATCTCAAGACCTTTAACTTGAGTGGTGGAAGACATCAAAGAGATTTATAGAACTCAAGTTATGGTCCTTGCAAGTTACAGGTCATCTGAGGTATCTGAAATTTTGTCTGTGAAAGTTACTTGTCTTCCAAGCAACTTTTACCCCTCAAGGAGATTTCAAATGAATTTCTGGTCAACATAAGAGTTGTTCCTCATTGTCTTATCTTTCTAGAATGGTATGGTTTGCCTTCATATGATTTGTGGAACTCTACTTATGGTCTTGGCAAGCAAAGGGTATTTTGGTCATCTGAGAATTACAGGTCATTTCAAGCCTATGCCCAAATCTCATACAAGGAAGCTTCAAATGAAAAATTTCACAACATCAAACTTGCTCCAAATGACATTTGAGTCTAGAAAAGTGATCATGAAAGTTTGGAAAGGCTCATAGCTCAAGGTTTCAAATTTGGTGAATTTAATGAATAAAAAATGACCTAAAATTGAGATTTTTCATAATTTGACCAAATGAGATGAAATTATAGGTCATTTTGATTGGAAAAAATGTTTTAAGAACATTGGCAAAAGTGGATTTTTGAGTTTGGTTTAAGATTTGAAAGTTATGCTTGGTTACTTACAAAAGAAGTTACATAATCCAAAATTCAAGGAAAGTGTGCACGGGAAGTTTCTACAAAGTTCTAGGGCTTTCCAATGTCATCTATATATTGCATTGAGTAGCTTCATGCATTGGTTGGTGAATCATTTTGTTCATAACACAAGTTACACATCATTCTTCCATTTTTGCAAAACCATCTCAAACTTCATCAAATCTTCACCAATTTCCAAATTTCTTGATCTCATCATCATCTAGATCATTCAAGGATCAGAATTCACATCAAGGTTTGTTTGAATTGAAGAGGAATCGTGCTATCCAATTCCATCATCCAAGGAGCAAGAACATTGTGATTGCAAGATTCAAGGCATTGGAACACGATCTATTGCATACAGAACTCAAAATCAAGTTCACTGATCAAATCCAGATCATTGCAAGCATTGGATTTGAAGAATTCAGCACCTGTTTTCACCATTTACACCAGGTTGGTTTTCTCATCGAATTGCTTGAATTAGTTAGCATGTTAGAGAATTATTAGGTTAGAATTGTTAGGTTAGGTTAGATGATTAGTCCTGGTGAGTTTGAGAAGGTTTCATGGATGTTGCCATTGGAGTGCAAGAACTGTTAAGGCTTATAACTCTTAGATTATTGCACTATAATCTTGGATATATAGCTTAAAATGATCAGTGTAAAGTGTAGATCATGTTAGGGTAGAAGCTAGCAAGAATTGGCATGGTTGATAGCAGGGGAAAATGATGGATTCAGGATGTTCTACCTATCGGGTTTGATCTTTGATGGAGTTTTAGAGGAAGATATTGTTATGGTTGTGTAGAGGGGAAGAAGTAGAGCAACTTTGCTCTTTACAGATTTTGTTTTCATGGAGAATTGAGGTTGTATGGATGAGTGGAAGATCTGGTCCATGAGCTCGTGCATGGAGCTCCCATGGCTGAAAACCCTGATCATTTGGAGAAGAAGCATGAGGTCCGTTGGATGGAGTCTTGTTGGTTGACTGAGTAATGGATCTAATGGTCACGATTTAAAACGAAATTTGGAGGGAGATTACTCAGCCAAACGCACCGTTTCATTAATTCCCCCATACTGGGCTCAATAATCAGTTACTAATCCCACCCCCAAGCGCAGGCCCAAAACCAAATTCAACTAAAATTCTTGCTAAATGCACCGTTTCCCTCTTTTTTTATTTTTTGCTGTGTTTTCTGTTTGACTGGGCCCAGACGCGCATTGCTAGGCGCGCCCCCCAGTCTGGGCCCATCTCTCATTTTCAACTGGAGTTAATGCTAGATGCACCCCTCAGCCAAATTAATTCATTTTAATTTTACTTAATTCATTTCATTTCTTTAAAAAATCATAAATAATTGAAAATTGCATGTTTTTAATTGGTTGTTTTTGCATATTGTTCATAATTCTGTCAATAAAATTATCACATAAAAAAATTGGTATTTCATTTCATTTTTATATTTTTAGTATATTTTTCTTTTAAATAGGTTTGAATAATGTTTAGTTTAATGCATGATATTGTTAATTTTGGTTTGGTTAGATGCTTTAATATTTTTGATCCATTCTTTTTAGGTTGATTAGCTTAGACCTTTATCTTGTATATAAAATTTAATTCATGATTTTAGAACTTAATTTTAGATGATTTGTTTAGGTGTGATTAGGAGAACCAAAACTAGGGTTTAGGGGATAACATAGGTGTGATGAATCATTTCACTTAGGAGTTGTAGTTTGAATCTTTAGGGTATGGGACTATAGGGATTATGGGTAGTTAATAGATCCCTTAGAAATTACTAGGTTTCCCCTATTCTACTATTACTATCAGTATACTGCTTGTATTTGCTTGACTGTATGGTGTGCCCTCTCTAGGGTTATTTCATTTGCCTGTGTGGGGTATTGGGTTTGCTTGGGGATTGGGAGAGCTGAAGACTGTGATGATGAAGGCCATTGGAGATCAAGAGACTGAAGTCCAACTTCCAGAGTTGATGAGGAGTATCCTTTGCTGGCAGCTGTTGAGGAGTGTATGGTTTAGGAGCTAGGCAGAGCTCTAGAGTAGAACTTGATTCACAAACATGGAAGGCCTTGTTTGCCTCCATTCTTTCTCTATGATTCAAAGTCTCTTTCAAATATCCACCTCCTTCCTTTGGAAGGATTAGTGAATGTATTTGAAAGATAGAACTTTTGAGAGAAAATTGTCTGTATCATGTTAACAGTTAATGAGCCACCCTTGGTAGGCAGTTGACTGTTTAACATTCATTTCATCTTGTTGACTGATATTCATCCTGGAGATTGAGACTTGAAGAAAAGCCATTGCAGATTGAAGACTGATGACAAAGACCTTTCTTGAAGGCTGTGAAGATAAAGACTGATGCTTGCTTGAAGCTGGTGGATAGTTGATGATGACCTGAAGACAGATGTTGATGCAGAGCTGCTGTGGCTGTTTATTTTTAGCTGTTTAATTTTTGATATATTGTTTGAATTTCCCTGACTGTATTGCTTGCTGTTTAACCTGTTGGGTTGAAAGTGAATTCTGTTCACTTTTGCCTATTGTTTTCTAGGTTCGAGGTTGAGTGGGACTCCCTTGCCTCGCTTGTATTGCTGCATCCATGCA